CTCCTCCCCTCCTCCTCCTCTCCTCCTCTCTTCCTCCTCCTCCTCCTCCTCCTCCTCCTCCTCCTCCTCCTCCTCCTCCAGGATGCGCGCTGAAGTCTGTGCGTGCGCTTCCCTGAGCACAGTGCGGCGCGGGCTCGGCTTTCGCCCCCTCGCGCCCCCCCGCGGAGAACTGGGCCGCTCTCCGGTCCCGGGCCGCAGAGGGCGCGAGGCGCGGCTACCTCTCCGCGGCCCCCTGCGGGTGGCCTTAAAGTTATAGGTCGGGCCTGTCCCCCTGCAGGGGGAGCTTGGGCGCAAAATTTGAGATACTTGAAGATATTCAAAAATGTAATAGAATGCAAAAACATTGTCCCCGGATTATTTTTGGAGAATATTTGAATGTTCCTCCTGTAGAGAGACAGGCCCGACTTGAGGGTGGCCTCGGAGTGCACTGGTGTGGGCTGTGCTGTCGTTTCAGGGTCCTGCAAGCCCAGACACGCAAGACCCGGACACCCAGCATCCCTCGAGACCAATTGTTCGAGACGGAGGCACGAGCAAAACATTGTATGCTGCAGCATTTCCATAAACACAAGCCCTAAAAGCCTGCAAGACCCCCTAAACCAGGACACAAACCCAAATCCTGCAGTGCAGCAAACATATCGTGCACGGGTGCTGAAACATGTGACTCTGCCAGAACAAAAGGTTGCCCTTTCTTTGGTTGTCCGTGTCCCGGTTCTGTGGCCAGGTCTCCGGGGACCTGACTGCGTCTGGACCGGCGGCGGGATCTGTCCGAGGTCCGGCTGTACCCCCAGGCCAGTCCCCCCCTGTCGGCTCCCATCAGCCTTCGTCATCGTCGGCGCCGCCAGTCGCAGGTCGTCGCCAGGGACGGCCCCTGGACCGTCAAGAACGGATCGGGGGCGAGAGGCTGGTATCGATGTTTTGGGCCTGATTTGCCTTCATCGCCCCGTCTGGACCGGTGTTTTCTGGGCTCCTGCGGGCTCAGATCCCCTTCACCGCCTGAGAGGAGGGACGGGGCACACCAGCAGAGCCCGTCACGGGTAGGGAGCTCAGGGCCCCAGAAACCCAGGACTTTGCAACCCTTGGGCGTCGCGCAATCTGGGGGCGATACATGGTGGGGGCGGCGAGGGCTGCAGAAGAGGGGCCCTTGAGGGCCCCTACAGGGGCCCTCTAGGGCCTCACAGGGGCCTTCAGGGCTCGAAAAGGGCACGTTATTTTTCGCGCTCTCTCTCTCTCTCTCTCCCCCTATTTTACCGCCCCCTCATTACTTCCCGCCCAAGAAGCCCAGAGTTTGCCAGACCCAGCGGGAGAGAACGAAGACTGGGCAGTGTCTCGTCGGCCAACGGCCGCAGTCTCCACGCTGCGCTGTCGTCATAGTTTTTTGACGAAGTCACCCATGACAGAGCACCGAAGGCCCGAAGACAGCCAGAGAGGCCACGGAGAACGTTCGTCGTCGTCGTCGTCGTCGTCGTCGTCGTCGCCATTCAGGGTCGGCGGCACCGGCCGTAAGGCCTTCGCAATCACCCTTTACAGATCACCGAAGGCCCGAAGACAGCCAGCACGTGTATACACATCAAATCGAAGGGGGCCAGCTGTCACTCACCGTCTCTGGGCGCGCGTGGCTGAAGTGGAATTCCGCGATGCGGATTGCTGTTGCATTGCTGCGTTGTTGACAGCTCGCTTCTCAATGCTAATTTTGTTGTTTCCCACCATTACCTGGCATTCGTTCCATTGAAGTGCCCCCCCCCTGTTTTTATAAGCGGAAGTCTTGGGCTCAGATTGGCCCTCTGGCCCCCGAGCTACAACAACAACGGCTCCCGCCTGACACTTCTTACAAATTATTCATGAATTGCGCTCTCGCGTGGGATGTCCTCACAATTTATTCATGAATCGTGCTCTCGCGTGGGACTTCTTCGCAATTTATTCAGACGCCGCGCCCTCGACACTCAGACATCACGCTCTCGCTCTGGACGACGTCATGATTTACTTGGGAATCGCGCTCCTCGCGATTCACGCAGGATTGATTCTTCAGTGACCAGCCCGCTCTACCTGGCCGTCTGGGCTCGTTCGTCCGACCCGCCCGTTAGGGTCCGTCCGCCCGACCCGCCCGTCCGGTCTTGCCGCTTGTTTTCCTGCTTCCCAACCCCGTCCTGTCCCGTCCCTCCTCCCTCCCTTCGTTGTTTCAAGGGTAAGGAAGGAAGATGTCGCCCCAAGGGGTACGATCAAAGACAAAGAGAGTGGGTATCAAGGGCTTGATATACATATGCTGAGCGACATGCAAGCATCTGAGAGCGAACAATCTTCAAATTATTGTTGTTCACTGCGACGACGGACGCACGACGACGACAACGACGACGACGACGATGGCGACGACGGACGCACGACGACGACGACGACACGCCGACGACGACGACGGCTGGCGAGCAGGCGAGACGCGGCGCGGCTGGGGCGGCTCCCGCGCGCCCCGCGCCCGGCAGCTCGCCGGTGCGCCTCCCCGACGGGTGGCGGCGGAAGACGACGACGACAACGACGGACGACCGACGACGATGACGACGACGTCGGACGACCGACGACGACGACGACAACGACGACGACGACGACGTCGGACGACCGACGACGACGACGACGACGACGACGACGACGACGACGACGACGACGACGACCGACGACGACGACTACGACTACGACGACGACGACGACAGCGGTGACGACGACGACCGACGGCGGCGACGATGGCGTCGGCGGCGACGGCGACGACGTCGGACGGCGGCGGCGGCGACGACGACGACGTCGGCAACGACCGACGGCGGACGGCGGCGACGGCGACGGCGACGGCGGCGGCGGGGACGATTCGGGGCGCCGCGCCGTCCGAGCCAAGGCTGCGGCTTGCCGCACCGCTCAATCCAGGCGAGCATCATGCTGCAGCTGCTCCCCCCCCGGCGCTCGCCGCAAGGGCCGCCTCACGGGCGACGCTGCATGTGAGCGTTTTTTGTTCGGCGTTTCGACATTGGGCGGGAGGGGGTGGTGGTCTGGCTCTAGAACTCTGCTTAATGCGCCGGTTTGCAAATGTGCGTCCCATGGGTAAGCCTCCACCTGCTTGAAAGATGCACAAATAACAGCCGAGATCTACTCCATGAGGGGGTGCGAGGGGAGGGGGATGCGAGGGCCCGCGCCGATCGGCAAAACAATGAATGAAGAACGATCACCATGACGCCGTATGCGAATATCTGCGGACCCCGTGAGGGCGGAGGAGGAGGAAGAGGAGGAGGAGGAGGAGGAGGCAGAGGAAGAGGAGGCAGAGGAGGAGGAGAGGGGGGGAGGAGGAGAGGGGGGGAGGAGGAGAGGGGGGGAGGAGGAGGAGGAGGAGGAGGAGGAGGAGGAGGAGGAGGAGGAGGAGGAGGAGGAGGAGGAGGAGGAGGAGCAGGAGGAGCTTCCGAGGGGCGAGCCGTCGACGAGAGCGGGCAGGAGCGGGCAGAAGCCGCGGCCCGAGCCAGGCACGGGCGCCTGCGACCACCCCCGGCTGCGCTGCCGAGGCAGGCCCCGAGGCGGCCGTCCGAGGCAGCGGGCGCTCCACCGGAGTGCTCTGGGTCGGCTGGCAACCCACCAGCGTTGGCTACGGCCCTCCCGACGCCTGTTTGTTTGTTTGTTTGTTTGTTTTGGTGTTGTTATATATATATATATAAAGGAGTTTGTTGTAATGGACAGCTCAACATAGAAGTAGCATAAGCATTACAACATGTACACCTGTGTCGAAACACAGATACACCGTACCAGAACGATGTCTTCATCTTGTTTATATAGCAGACATGTCAGACACAGTGTAAGTGCGCTCAGTACAGGAAGGATTGGTTTGCGTGCTTGCGTTGTCGTTGACGTTGACGGCCACGGGGTCGCAGTGCCCACGCTGCCCTCATTCGTTCGGGAGCTCCCGAGCGAAGTGCACCCCACCTCCCCCCTTAGAAATCGTGGGGCGGTGGGGTACGGTTCGCATGTGGCCACCGAGAAGAGGACACACCGCGAGGGCACGCGAAGCTCCCACGACGGGCAACCAGAGGAGACGCGCTCGGCCGCCACAGCACCGCATGCGGCCGCGCCGTGCCGGGCGGGCCACTGGGGTCGACCTCCTCCGCGACCAGCCGACGAGCGGCGTGCGGCACCACGAGGATGGCGGCAGCGGCGACGCTAATGACGACCCAGACATGCTCGCGTCGTCAACAAAAATCAGGACGACAATTTTTTCACAATTTTCGACCCTCGGGAGCCCTTGCTGGGCCCCAGGACCGTCAAAAAACGACTCAGGATGAAAAACCGGTCCCGGGGAAAAGGGTCGGGACTTCCAGGGACGCCGTCCTGAAAAAATCAGGACGTCGCATGTCTGGGGACAGGTTTTTCTTTGGATGCACTCCTGGATGGGGTCCGCGTGGATGGGGTCGAAGGACCTGGCCGCACCGCCGATGCCTCGGCGATGCATCTCGCCGAGGCATCGGCGACGCGTCGGCGATGCACTGGCGACGCACCGGCGATGCACCGGCGTCGTCGGCGCGGAGAAAAAAATCGCACCCCACGTCAACAGGCATCTCCGATTCATTGCCGCTGCATCGGCGACGCGACACGATCCTCCGACCCTAATCCCATCTACTCCGACCCCATCTAGGAGACCTAGATTTCGTTGGATGGATCTCTCAAGCTCTCCGCCGCCTCAGGCGGTGTGCGTTCGGAACAGGAGCACGGCAAAGGCCAGAGGAAAGAGTGGCAGTGACGGTGTGTAGCTCCGAGCGCGCGCGTCAGATGCTCCAGTGAGCACAAACGCAGCTAAGCCCAAGAACAGCGAGGCTCACCATCAACACAGCGGCCAGTGAGCCCCCCCGCGACATCTCCACGAGCGTTGCTCCACCTCGGCATGCTCGACGAACGTGACATCATGGCGACAGCTCGGCTGCCTCGAGTGGTGATGACGTCAATGACTGTGACTGCGACGCCTCCTTAAAGGGGGTCTTGCTGGAGGTGCTCGATTTTCTTTTCCAGCGCTCGGCGACTCGTTTGCTGAGGATGCGCTGAGTCCGCTACGTCCGGCCAGCAACCGCGCACGCACTGCTGTATTCCACTCGCGCCGCGAGGTGTGCAACGAGAAAAAAAGAAACATGCTCCTAAGTGGAGTCTGGCAACTGACGGAACCACCAGTGAAGGCTGGTACAATTCAACAGAGGGGAGCACTGCAATACTTACTGTGATAGTGCTAAGAGGACGAGCTGTGCCGAAGCTTCTGGGTCAGTCTGCCACGGCTGCCTTTGGCCAGACTGCCGCGCCGGCCCAGTCGGCCGCGCTGTGCAACAGCCTCTTTGAACCGCCGAGGTCCGCGCGCCCGCCGCAGAGCACGGTGAGGGTGCAGACCAGCAGCGCTGTGCGGCTGAAGGCGCCCACGCCAAAGGTCGCCGCCGTGGGCCCGTGCAGGCGGAGGAGGGCAGAGACGACGGCAGCGCAAACGAATATCGCCACGCGCGGGGTGACGGCGCGCCTCGGCTCCGCCGCGCGACCCTCCGTGGCGCTCCGCCGGGGCACGCTCGGCTCCGAGCTCGCCGCCGTGTTCCGCTCCAGCCGCCACAGCCGCCGCCTGCAGTGGCACATCGTCCGGGAGCTTCCCCACCTTCAGACGCAGCCAGGAGGAGGGACAAAAATCAGGTACGGAGGAATCGAGCATCTCTGAGACCCTGCGGCTCTGGAGGACGTCTCGGGCGCCGCGGCCTCCTCAGAGCGTTCCGGTACGCTCTGAGAGCGTTCCGGAACGCTCTGGAACGGATTGATCCTCGTCCTAGCCTTAGGTCGGGCATGTCCTAGCACAGGCGCGTCCTGGAGGAAGCATACAAAAGTAGTCACACATCGTCAAGAATAGCCAGACAATGGGCAAAAAAAGAAATATCGCCCCCAGACGATTTGTTTTGACTACCTTTGAGTATCCCTCCTGTAGAGTGGCAGGCCCGACTTCAGAGCGGCCCCGCCCGACCACCTCCACACGGAAGGCAACCGATCGGAGGAGGGCTGGTGGAGGCAGCGGCGGCCCTCCACGGCGCTGCTCGTCTTTTCTTTTTCGTTTTTTTTTGGGGGGGGGAGGGCGCCTCCTCTCGGCAGCTTCTCGTCGCCGCGGCGGCATCCGCCGCGACTGACGGGTCAGGATGGACCCGGGGGGGATCCGGGGTCACGCCTGCGGAGGTGTCGAAGACGAGAAAACGCCAAAAGCAGCACAAACTTCTGGCGCTCCGCGCGGACCTCTCGGATGCGCGCTGGGCCCCCCCTGGCGGCGCCTCCGGCGCCGCCCCAGGCGCGCTCCGCGCGTCAGGGAGGGGGTCCAGCGCGGATCCAAGCAATCCGCGCGGAACGCCAAACGTTTTAGGCTCATGGCGTGCTCTCGTCTTCGAGAGATGGGCGCTGGATGGGAGATTCGCCGCTGCCTCGACGGGCCCCGCCCCGAACCTGCACGCCACCACCGGGCCTGGCCAGGCCCGTCCTGGGCTGGCGTGGCGTGCTCGCCGTCTTCGCCGAGGCCCGGAGGTCGCCCCATCCTGGGGGGGGCCGAGGTGGCCCTGGTCGAGCGTGGCGGTGGTATACACGAATACGTGTGCCTCCCCACGTCCGCCGATGCTTTTTGAATTCCGTGGCCCCCGACCCCTTCGCCGGGCCCAGTCTTTCGCCCCGGATCCAGCTGTGCGGGCCTCCTGGGCCCGAAAAAGCGCCCCAGAGGCCAAACTCGAAGAAGAATGCCCGGACTGAACAGCTCATATCACCGGATGTCTGTAGATGCCTTCTCGCATGCCACCTCGCGTCGCTGCTGTAGAAATCCACCGCGTACTGCCATCCCCCGTCATCGCTCGGCCCGGGAGCCTCGGGGGAAACCAAAAGGGACTGACACCGCTGCTCCCTGGACCCCATCCAGGGGTGCGTTCTGAACAACAAAATTTGGAGACGAATCCATCGGTGGAGACGAGGGCCTCCCAGGAGAGCCAACTAGGCGAAAGGGTACTGGTATCGGTGCGGAAGGTTCACGTCGCGATACAGAGCGGGCGTTGGTTTCTGATCACCTCGTGGGCCGTTCAATCTTGAACGCCGCCGATGACGGAGATCGCTCAATACTGGCCGAGCTCAGGCAGCTCGTAAAATTCAGCCTTGAACACCCGCGCTGGCGTCGCCGCCGCGTCAACGCGGCGTGGACCCATCATACCCGCCGATCGGAAGAGGTGGGCAGAGACATCGAGCAGGAAGGCGTTGAAAGTAGATTGGGGTTCCCGCCCAGCCCCTGAGGACGAGAGGGGGAAGAGACTACCACTCCACCCTTGAAGCAGGCAGGCGCCCAAAGTAGATTGGGACGTGGGCATCCCCAGACACCGAGTCTTAACGACCGCCGAATGCCCACTGCCGCCATCCTTCAAGCACATGATAATCTCCGCCGGCCAAAACGCACAGACCATCCAAGGGTACCCTCCCCCAGGATGCACAAGAGTACCCAACAAACACGAAGAACTTTAGGGCAGCCTCCCCGAACTTACCTCGATCTTATCATTACCTCGGTTCGACCGAACCTCCTCCTGGGAAACCACAACATGTACCGATACCGCTACTCCCCGGACCTCTCCCAGGGTGCTGTCTGACCAGAATTTCGAGGCGAATCCAGCGGTGGCGACGAGGGCCTCTGAGAAGGCCCAAAAAGGGGAAAGCACGGAAAGGGTAGCAGTATGGGTGCCTGTTTCTCCCCAAGGCCCCAGCGGCGGCCGGCTGGATAGAAACGCCAAAGACATAAACTGTTGGCGCTCCGTGCGGACTTCTTGGATCTGCGCCGGAACCACCTCCCTGCCGCGCGGAGCGCGCATAAAGAGAAGGAGGAGGAGAAGGAGGAGGAGGAGGAGGAGGAGGAGGAGGAGGGGGAGGGGGAGGAGGGGAGGAAGAATGCGGATGATGATGATGAGGAGGAGGAGGAGGAGGAGGAGGAGGAGGAGGAGGAGGAGGAGGAGGAGCTGAAGGAGGAGGAGGAGGAAGAGCATCATATCAGATCCGACTCCTATGGGGGCATGAACCCACTCCGTGACACACTAGGCGCCCTAGGATCGACATAACTGCCGCGATTTCGGGCCTCCGCCCACCCTGAATTTCCAGGGTATCAGAACCCTAAACAACTACCGAAACACAACACACTCTGAAGTCAAAACAAGCGCAGCCGGCCCCGAGAGACTTTCCCAGGCCAGAATCACGGAACGACTGAACAACAGGCCAGCACACGCTAGACAGGAGGAGGATGAGGAGGAGAAAGAGAAAGGCGGGGCGGCCTGACATCGGCAGCCGCGGGGCCTCAAGACGCGAAGCCGCAGTAGACGCAGCCGTGCGCGTAGCCCTCGTACCCCCCGTTCAGGACGGCATCGGACCACGCGCGCAGGCCATGGAAGTAGCACAAATTCACAAGTACCCAGTGTACAGCGCACAGCACGACATAGACTCTCAACTTCACCAATGATAGTAGCTCCCACAAGCAATCAGGCACCGCCTCACTGCCGCCAATTTCTCCAGTCCGCCAAGGACCATGTCAACCAACATATGCGGACTCATCACATCGATGCGTTAGTTGTCATCGCTGCCGTTCTCGAGAATGATCAGGAGGTTCCTCTCAAGGCGGCCCTTGGGCGGAGTTCCCTCCTTCAGCTGCGCCCCGAGCTGCGCGCAGCAGACGACAGGAAACGAAAGCTCGTCGAAGTACGGCATCATCACTTTGCACTGGCACCCTTGAGCGCGGTCTGGATATTGATGAACGGAAAAGGACACTGCCCGCTTCATGGACTTCTGGCCTGTGCCTCTATCCTCTCCACCCGCTTCATGGCATTCGACTTGCCACAGTTGTAGCCCTCCTTCTCGCAGCCCACGAAGCACCCCGCGTCGCGGCACATCATGCCGAAAGCACGCGCGCAAATCCAGCTGAACAAGAAAAGGGGCATGGTCGCGACATGCTGCGTCGCGACTCCCGCAGCCAGTGCGCACGGCGCATCTGTAGTGTGAACAACTGCATACAGGGCACGTAGCTGGCACTCCGCGAAACACGATCAATGTACGACATACGCTGGCGTTTACCACGTAAACATCGAAAGCCAGGTGTTGCATCAACAATTCTTGCGTCATCAGGTACTGATCCAAATAAGCTCGGGCCACATGTAAAAACAGTGTCTGCAATATCCACCCCCCTCGTTTCTACCATCTCGCGTGCGATAGATCCTGCCAGTTGCTCCATACTGCGTCCGTGCCTCTCACCTGCGGCAGACGCGATCTCACACGCGCTGCACTGCCCCCTTCACCAGTCCCCCAACACCATTGGCATAAGTCACCATGATCTGAACGATGCGACGCGGGCCCGCTTGTACCTGTCGTGCGTAGTCATAAACACAATGGGTGGTAGCATTGAGCTTCGGCCGCTCCCGCAAATCCCCGCTTTGAAGAGTAAGAAAAAAAGGCCCACGACAGTCTCGTCCCCGTAATGCGAAATAATACTACCACCACCCCCCACACCGCGAATATCTTTAGGGGGGGCCCATATACGCGCTGCATCCCGAAATCGAAGCGTCTGCTTGTTAACCATCGTCGAATAACCACACGATGAGTTTGTGAAACTGTCTTTTGGGTCACATCCATATCGCCTGCTCTCGAACTTCATGTGGGCCACCGCCGCGTCTGCGGACTTGAACACGAACCATTGCGCACCGATAAGAGTTAGCAACATCACTATAACGAACGTGTGCTGCAGCTCGGACGCCCTGTCTCTGTCAGTAAGGGAAAGAGGATTCCACCATGACGCTCGCATAGTTCCGAAGAAAGTCAAGGATACACGAATACACCAAAGAATAATCAAACCCGAGGATGTACACGCTCCGTCGCAATTAAGCCGTCGTGGACACCCGTATGGGCTCTACGGGTCTACCTCCTCAGGTAATAGCACAACACTGGTAGACAGCGAGCCCACCTCCAGGGACACAAAAAGGTCACTCAGCACGGACAGGTGCCACGCAAACCCCTACGGTAATCAATGCACAACACTGTGAAAAATGGAGGAATGTGTGTGAGTGAAACAGTGTTCGGTAGCGGGCGAGGGAGGCCGCGCCTCCTGGTCGACACGGCGAAGGGTGCGCAGGGTGCCGTGCAGCCACAGCCCCTAGAACACCTGGGCCGCGCGGCTGAGGAGGAGCATGAGGGAGGAGGACG